AATTTTCTGCATTGAAACAAAATTAAATAAGTTGATATAGCCGCGGATTAATTTATTATCCTACGACTAGCTCCGGTTTCAGATAGATTTAATTTCAGTTCAATATTAATTTTATATAATATTTTTAAATATGGATTTGATTTTTTGACAAAAAAAGTAGAAATATCAACTTAGTTTTAATACTTTGATTTTTCTTTACAAGATAATATTTTTAAATATGGTGTTAAAAATTATTTAGAATTTAATTATTTTAAAAGAAGCTGCAACGAGACTATTTTTAATCAAACATATTGGGGGATAAACATAATAGCTAGAATCCATGAAATGTTTAAGAATAATTATGCATGTTGTAGAAATTGTAGATTGTAGAAAGAAAAAAATAGGTTTATATTTTCTTGGAAAATCACCCCCCCCCCTCTTCTAAAAATCACTCTTCCCCCAAAAAAGTTAGATATTTTTAGATCTTTTTCCCCAAAGAGGGGAAAATAAATGATTTTAGGGTAAATAAATAAATTTTCGGTTTAAAAGTATAGAAAAGGATGAAAAACTTACCTTTTCATGTTCATTTCCGGCCCCCCCCCCCAGAGATCTCCAAAAATCATAGTTCTAAAAAAAATATATTGCCCCTGAAGAATATTGAAACCAATTTATTAAAGATGTTTAAGTAAATGAATAAAGAGTGTTATTAATTTTTATATGTAATTTGTTTATAATTATAAAGCGTATTCGAATATTAATTATTAAGATATGAAAAAACATAAAAATGCATGCAATCTATCAATTAGTGCACTAATGAAAGTTTCATGAGGGGAGGGGGGATCAGTGCTTTTTAAGTTTACATCTTTCGTTAAAGGAATAAAAAGCTACGAATGTCGGATAAGTCTCACTCCCATATTGTTCACCTTGTTGAAAGGATAAACGAATATATTTGTGATTAAGTGATAATAAGTGTAAAACGAGGATGGTTAATTATTATCTAGTAGGACCCTCTCTCTTCCTTAGTTGTCTCCCGATTCCATGTGTTCAATAATCGAAATTTGAAAAAGTTTTCTTTTACAATTCTTTTACATTCAGTATAACACTTATAGATACAAGATATATCATTTTATACTACCTATTTCTCTTTCTATCTATCTATTTATGAATATATCTATCTATCTATCTATCTGTTTAACTATTTGAATAACTAACTAAGTGACTTTGATTTAGGGCCACCCATGACGGAAGGCAGTTATAAAACATATATTTAAATACAACAAACACACACTCATACTTTACTAACACAAACACTAAATAATCCATACTTACACCTCGTATACATGATTTTTTATCTATAACAGCAGCACAATCCTGACATAACATAGCGCTCTGCAACTTCGTTGTTTGGAATCGGGTTTTCTCAAGAACTCATTAATTGAATATTCGACTTCAGGGGTTTCCAGGAACCATTGCAATTGATCAGTTGATTAATGGCAATATAAAGTAAATTGCAAGAAGGATAGAAATATTTGCATGTTATCAATCATAAATCAGAATATCGCCTATAAAAACTTCCACAATTTCCCTAAAACTGCAGAATGTGCTAAAAGTTTGCAAAAACGTGTAAAATGAATAATTGATGCTAAGGACTAAGAATAATATAAATTTAAAGCGACTGTCAACGTGATTTCTGTGACCTCTCAATTAAAAACTTGGGTTCCCAACTCCCGACGGTACCCGTTCAAACCTAACATCATGTTGTTCCCTATATCGTACTATCATAAACACTTCAAAATTAGGAATATTTTGTTTGTTCGAAATTTTTTTTTTGTTGTCAGAGATATCTCAAAACTGGTTGTTGTCAGAGACATCTTCAAACTGTTTGCAGTTTCGAATTTCGAAATAAATAATAGATTTTTTTCCATCAATGAAGTTTGCATGCAGAGTGTGAGTTTGAGAGGTGTCGGCGTATTTAAAAAAAGAATTGTCATGTCATCTTTAAGATGCCCGGATCCAGGGAAGATAAAAAATATAACAAAAAATTGTGAAAAAATTTTAAATCGTAAACAAGATGATCATTTTGTCACATAGAAAAATTGTTATAATCGATTTTTAAGTGAAATAACCTACCCCTGTTCGTCGAAGCGATTATACAAGTCATTTCTACCATTTTTAACAATTCAAATAGAAAATTAAAAGTAACCATTAAATAGATCTGTTTGGACCGTCAAGGCTGATGAGGGGGGAGGGGGAGAAGGTGGCACAGGGTGGACCCAAACGGGGGTCATTAAATGTTGACTAGAGGATTTCTGGACCATGTTCAACTATTAATGATCACAAAGAACTAAATGGGAGTAAAAACCTTTTGAACGGAAAGAGGAGGAGGAAGAGAAGAAGGAGGTTGGAGGATGAGAAGAGGAGAGTAAGATAAGGTGGAGGGGAGTAGGATGAGGGATGAGAAGGAGTGAAAAACAGGATGAGGAGAAATGGAGTAGGATGAGGAGGAGAGAAGGAGGAA